CTTCGGAGGAGATCATCTGACTGTTAACTTTATTATTACCTCGACGACGACACACTTTGGGCACAAAAGTAAGTGGGCAGCTGGCATCTATCTCTTGGTTGCTGCCACTGTTGCGCTCCCATTGCCAAATTTGGCAACTTGTTGTGGAGCAACCAGCCAACAGTTAAGACCCAAGCACCAGAGACAGCGCCAGCAGCAGCAGCAGCAACAGCAACAGACACCAGCTACGAAGTAACCAAGTAAGTGGCACAAATGTATTTTTATTTATCTCTGCTTCTTGGTTATTTTTCCCCCTGTACGAGGGTTTCTGTCGTTTCATTCCCGCATCAAACGGACGCCCACAGACGAGCAAACAAAAGACTTAGGCAACGAACTTGCCGGGCCATATCCACACAAACCGACGGAGAAGAACAGGGAGACGGAGGCCAAGCGGCTAATGAGCCACATGTAAAGCAGTAAAAAATTATATAAACATTAATTATGAACAATCTTTTTTCCGCTTTCATTGTTGTTGTAGGCGTTCGAAAATGAAATGAAAATACAAAGATTTTCTTAGGCTGTAACTCAAGTAGAAAGATCCGGAGCTGCCTGCTGTGAAAATGATAAGTTATAGAAAATCGGGAGAAGACATATTCGGGTGTAGAGAGAATGAAACGCAACGAAAAGCGCTAATTGCGCGTAAAACCGAGCAGAAGAGAGCCCGAGCCACGGCCTCCGTGTGTGGGTTTACTTTGTGCGATGCATCTCGCCCCCTCTTCCATTTCTTCTGTATCTCGTCTGTTGCGTGGGTTAAAGAAACTCCACTCCCCTTCCCCCCATCCGATGTTGCATGTAAATTTGGAAGATATTAGCCCGTGAAACATAACGAAAGATGAGACAAACGCAACGGAAGAGATGACTTCAAGTTGATCGAAATCTTTATAGGAAAACCATTATAATTTCCAAAGCGAAGCGGCCTTCGGGAGACGGCGGAATTGAGACTGACTCTGATTATGCCTAAACCGAATAGCAGTCAATTAGAGTGTTAATATTAGATTAAAAGCCGCTAAGTTCTCTGGCACACGAAGAGGCTACAGAAATCTTTGCATATGCCGTTCCAAGGTTGTCAGACCTCGATTTCTACGGCATAAATCGTTGTGGGCGTACTTTTATTTGCCTTTTGTGGCATAAAATTAGCCAGACCTGCGACTCACCTTAGCTTGGGCCACATCTTGCTGCTTTCTGGTTGCTGGCAAAGTCCGGAGATGGTGTGGCGCGGGTCTTTATCAGCGTGCGAAACTTAAACAGAGAGCAGGCAGGCGAGCGCTGGCAACGTTCATAGAACAATAAACCGCATTAACCTGGCCTCTACCTGGCACAGGCACTGTCACTGGCACTGGCCCTGGGCACCCTGGTACAAACACACTCACACACAACGCGGCTGTCTTCTGCCTTCTGCTCCAGAACGTATTTAGAATGCGATAAAGATCTTTACGGTGCACTGACGCCCAGGGAGCGACAACGGCGGCGGCGGCAGCGGCAGCGGCAATAAATGGAAGGAATGGGACGTCAGTTGACACCGCTGGAGCAGGACAGAAGGCTCACACACACACACGCACACACGCGGACACAGTCGAAATTAAAATTTCATTCATGAAAAACTACCGAGCGACCGACTCGAAGTGCAAGTAAACTAGTAGTCAACTGAAAGAACCGGAAACGGATGCGAATCCGACGCTGTAGATGTTTGTCTTGCCCCCCGCCAGGATTCCAATAGTTTTGAGGGATGATGACGCGGACAAAGACGATGACGCTGATGACGGGTCAGGTAGGCTGTGTGCCACTCGCAATCGTAACTCCACTGACAACTGGCGACGACCGTTCTTCAGGTATTGTCAAATTTGCATTTTTCACATTTGCCGCTTGAGACGAACGTTTGCTGCATGCGGCAACAAGCTGCACATACACAGAGACGGAGGAGAGCAAACGCAATAATCAACTGCCACGAACTGGACCCGACCACGTCTGAAACTTGACTGAGCGGCCTACGCTCAGGCAAGGCGGCTCGAGCCGCCACCAGAATGATTTCGTATGCGTTGTCTGGCTGTGCATCTGTATGGGTGTGCGCCTGGGTGTTTGCCTTCGCATTCGGTCGATTCATTCACAAATACTGGTCTGCTCTCTGGTCTGGTCTATGGTCTGTTCGCTGTCGTTTTGGACTTCGGCTGAGTCAGTGAATGAGCCGCCTCGGCCTCCGCCTCCGCCTGCAGTGTGTTACTGTGTGGGCAGGCTTGGAATTGTAAGAGTACGTATCCACGCGGTTGAACTTAATTCTCATTTTTTGCTTGCCAAAGATCGCGGCCCAGAGCCGCATTCGGCTGCAGGCTTAACCCAAATACTGGCCACTAACTAGCCAACTGGCCGTCGTAGTCGGGCTGCAAAGAAATGCTGGATGGAAAATAAATCACGCAGCGGAAAAAGTTCTCACACTCGACATGGCATCTGGCATGACCATCGCTGGCCGTGGGCTATTTGATTTTCACATTGAATGTGCCGCAAAACAATTTTCTTGTTTATCCATTTATTCCCCAAGCGGACTGGGAGTAGCGCAATGCACAAATATGGACACTGGAAAACGGGTTACAATGATTAGCACGCCGCACACACGTCTACTGCGTCTGCTACGTCTGCTTCGTCGGCGGCATCAGTAGCAGGAACAGCCACTGAGGCAGCAGCATAAGATCTACGGGGTAACGGAGAGCGCTAACTTAATTAATTTGTGGTATTGTCCAGGGTTTCCGTCTTGAGGGGCGCCATCGAGGGCGGTATGTTCAGTGTCTGCAGTGATTAGGAAGCAAACAAATTGGTTAAATAAATGTATTACATTCTTAATTATTTACTGACCTTGCCCGGACAAGCAGCCTCGTACTGATGCTTCAGGCTCTCCATCTCGTAGATGCAGGTGGACAGGGCCGTGCGCAGCTCACAAAGCAACACCATGTCGGAACGCAGCTCGTTAAAGGATGTGCATATATCCTCAGTGGGTGGTGGCGCGGGATCTGTAAAGAACAGTCCAATTAGCGAATGTAAGACAGAGTCCCAGTTACTCAACTTACCAACTTTGAACTCCTGTATGGCCTGTTCGAGAGCCTTAACTTTACGCTGGCCAATGTTGGCAGGCAACTTCATCTTCTGCGAACGCAACGAGACCCCGGACCCACGCAGATCGGCAAACTTGATGCCGCTGCTGCCTATTTCGATTGCATTCACCACCGAGTCCACCTTCGAGGGCCGCGGTTGGTGGTGCACCTTCTTTTTGTGCAGTTTCTTTTCGTATTTGCGAGTGCTGGGCGTGCTCGAGGCATGCTCATTCTGCTGATCCGCCTGCGAGATGAGTTTCTGTAGATCTTGTGTTTTGCGCTCACGCTCCTTCTTTCGAGCCTCGATCTTCTTCATCTCATTGATGAGAATCTGCTCCTCCTCAACCTGAAGGGTGGTGCGCTTAAACAGTTTCTCGAGCTGCTCTTTGCGGCGCCGTTCGTGCTCTGGATCATACGAATATACTCTCTTCTCGATGGTTTGATTCTTCGCCTTGGCTAGTAGCGCAACAACCTCGTAATACCGCTCCTTGAGATCCTCCACAGTTTTGTCCCCGTGCTGCTGGCGGTTCCAGCGATCCGCCATCACAATAAAGCGTAGATCAAAGCTATGGCAGGACTTAGTGAATAAAACAATGCGATTTTCTAATGGTCAATTCCAATCATTTACCGTCTTGCTAAGTCAAACAGGTGATCCGTCTGCACCTTACTCCAGTTGGTTATGTTGTTCCTTAAATGCGCGTTGTACTCCGTCATAGTGTAGGAGGGGATCTCCAGCTGTACATTGAACATGGCAAAGGGATACTCTCCCGAATCATCGCTGACCCTTTTCCAGTGGTGAAAGGCAGCTGCATCGGTGCGCGCCGGGTTGGCAAATGGCGCCCACTCCCACTTGCGCACCTTCTTCATCCCCAGACGTGCCTTCGTCTGCTTGTACCCGCCTCCAATGCCCAAGGCCGTGTCTGTGGGCAACAATGGCGGAGCATCTTTCTTGTCTGTATAGAGCAGGGCGAACACCTCGCGGTGCATGCCCTCGGGACGCCGGGAGGCATGTTTGGTGCTGGTAAATATAGTTATTGTTAAAAATATTCACCTGAACTTTAACAAAATTACAACTTACCGTTCGAAGTTGCGCTTCTTTGTTGCAAGGAAGGAATCCTTTGTCACTTCGGGCGTATTGGCACGCTCCATGTCCAGAATATCACGCACGTCGGCCGACATGTTTCCTCTTTATTTGTTACTTTAATTTACTTTAATTAGAGAGCTTCAGTCTGCAAAGAACAATATTTTCAGCCGCAAGTCAAAGAAGTCGCCATCTGTAAACAACAAAATATACCGTCAATATACCAACGAATTCAAGTTATATTTTACGAACTTAGCCCACTTCAGCCCCTCTATTTAAATAGTTATAATACTTCTGGTAAATGGCTGAAAATATTAACGATTGTAAATTCTTCTTGAAGATTCATGCCATCTTTCATTGAACTTAAAAATAACAACGCTTACTTTCACGTGAACTGCTCTAAAATGATTAATTTTTTATTATTTTCGGTGGAAAAATGAAATACCCCCTTGGCTTATAAGGGGTTAATCGTTCTACATCGAGGATTGGAAACCATATTCCTCGATTTTGATCTTCCTTCTAATATTATTAGCTATATAGAAAATTTAGCCGTGCCCACATAGTTTTATCCGATTAGTGAATCAATTTTCTACTTGACTGGCCTATTCTAAATCTTTGATTTTATTGGATTTCTATTGACAAAATATACCATTATATACCGATATACCGTAAATATACGGTTCAATTTTGACCTAAAAACTACCGAAAAGTATTAAAAATGGCCACCGTAAATATACCGACGGTAAAACGAACTTAGCCCGCTGAAGCCCCCTTTATTTAAACTGGAACGTGTTCAAAATCGAGGCAAGGCAGAAGCTATGTTGTTTTTCTGCCCGTCGTGCGGCAATATATTGATCATTGAGGAAGATACAGATAGCCACCGCTTCACATGTAACACCTGCCCATACATATCAAAGATCACGCGTAAGATATCAACGAAAACCTTTCCCCGCCTCAAGGTAAGTCCATCAATTGGATGATGCAATGGATTCCTTCGAGTGTCAATAATTCTTGGTTGTCTGTCCACACAGGAGGTGGATCACGTTCTGGGAGGGAAGGCGGCGTGGGAAAACGTCGATTCGACGGACGCCGATTGTCCCTCGTGTAGCCACAAGCGAGCCTATTTTATGCAAATTCAAACCCGGTCGGCTGATGAGCCCATGACCACATTCTACAAGTGCTGCAACCACCAGTGCGGACACAATTGGCGAGACTAATGCGCAACCTACAAACATTGCTTGTCACTCGTCTCCTTGGGCAACAAGCCTACCCCAGATTCAGCACAATGCAGCACCAAACAGTCGAAAAGACGAAGACTCCGGTTTGTCAAGTGGAGGATAGAGCCGCTCTGAAGGTGGCACGTCAATGCCTGTTGGGCGGTCAGGTGATAGCACTGCCCACAGACACCGTCTATGGGCTGGCATGCGATGCCAACAACGAGCATGCCATCCAACGCATGTACGAGATTAAGGGTAGAGACGAACACAAGCCAGTGGCCATCTGCGTAAACAACATTGAGGCACTGCGTCGCTACGGTCAGGCCGCCCACCTCAGCGACGAGCTGCTAACTCGTTTGCTGCCGGGCCCCCTGACCATTGTGATTGAGCGGACGCACGAGTTGAGCAATCGTTTCCTGAATCCCACCACCTCCAAAATAGGCATCCGCATTCCGGACTTCCAGTTCATACGAGCTCTGTGCTCCGTGTGGCATGAACAGCCACTTGCCCTGACCAGTGCCAATCGGTCTAGCGCCCCCAGCAGCCTCCAGGTGACCGAGTTCCATTCGCTGTGGCCCCAGCTGGGCGCCGTCTTCGATGCTGGTCAGATTGGTCTCACTGAGGAGCGTCGCCTGGCCTCAACTGTGATTGACTTGGCCACGCCAGGATACTATGAGATCGTGCGTGCCGGAGTGGCCCTCAAACAGACCCTGCGCTTGGTGGAAGAATATGGGATCAAGCCTCGCAAGGATATTGCACAGATACTATAGAAATATCGGTTCTCCGATGTGTCTGCCCAATCAAGTTAATTTTTCTTCAATAAAACTATAACTTTATTTGGTTTCATTTTTAATTTTGAACATTCTTCTCTTGCTTGGGAGGGACCACAACATCGGATTATAAAATATATATGTACATATGTATCTTTGGATGCACATAACTGGAACTATCGTCGAAAAGACTCTTAACTGGTCAGTCTTCTATCCTCGGGCTAATTGTAGTGGCTAGTCTTGGCCACTTGAATGGGCGCACGTCGTCTGGGCAGCTCGTTCTCCAGCAACCGCCAACGCTCTGGAGGCCACACGATTGCCACCGCCTTCGCCGTCATCAGACCCAGGGCCACTGGCCCGAATGTGTTGCTGTCCATGGAGTGGCCCGTGTGGTCACCCTCCACCCAACAATGGCCCTGTGGGACGCTCACTATTGGATCACGGTAGCCTATCGTGGAAACCACATCGCCTTGCAGGCCCACCACACGTTTGATAATCTTCTGGCTGGGGTCCTTCGGCGATACCAACGATATTATGTCCCCTCTCTCTACATCGCTGTTGTGATTCCCCCAACGCAACAGGAACACATAATCCCTCACATCTGCCACTGGATTGAGTGCGGGTTGCATGCTGGTACCTGAATGGAACGTGGGGGATTCCGTCTTAATTAAGAAGCAATTCCCGTGGCCGGCTACTTACCATCCACTCTGGCTACATAGCCCACGCAGTCGAAGAAGGTAATCCCCAGTGGCAGGCCGTAGAGTAGAGATTTAGCAAAGAAACGAAATGCCATGTGTCAGGTACGGGCAGCTGTTGCAGGTCCGTGAAGTTACAAGTACTCTGTTGGACACCTGACACCGGGTTGGGGCTGCGGATCCCCAGACTTTCGATTCCACTTAGTTAGAATGGACCAAAAATACTATAGAATGAATACATAACCAGCATTGGGCTGAGTTTTGTTGCCCAGAGTTTTGGCATTCACAGCGAACGGCCAGCACGGGCTATTGTTTATGCAAAACAGGGTGTCCGAATGCGTCGTATTCAATATTTATTATAGGTAGTAAAGTGAAGTTTCCAGCTATTGTACTATTGTTACAGTAGATGTGGCTAAGTTTTATTCAAATTTGTATTGAAACAGGATTGGGAATGAGTCCTTTGATTGGTCTCAGCAGCCCTCTAGCTCCCTCGGAATGGGAATATCGTTTTGTTGGGCAAAGTGGAGAAGGGCCTTGTATTTGTTCTTCCAGTTTCCGACCTCGATGCGTATCAACTCATTGTCCTCGTGCCTTTGCTCCAGCTCTGTCCATTCAGATGTTTTCTTCGTCTCCAGCTCGTCCTTTTGTTCGATTCTCTTGATTCGGCAACTGGCAGCATAGCCGCGGTTCTTCAACGTGCGCCTTCGTTGCTTCATTCGCACGATTTCTTCGCGGTTGAGGCCACGCATCTTCAGGGTCCTATTGAGGTCTCTCACAGAAATGGTCACCAGTTCGTCATCCGTAATGTCGGAAATGGGACAGGGAGAAAGTGGTGGCTGGAAAAGCCCATATACAATATGGTTTCCTTCTTTTTTTCAACACATTTCAAAACAACATACCAATGAGGACTTTCTCTCACGCTTGGATTCCATTTTTAATAGCAATAAAGTGCTTTTTAAAACAGTTTTTCTTCTCCCGATGGAGTTTTTGCGTTGTTATTGTGTCTTCTTCTTTGATGACCATTCGCACGGAAACGCCAGTGTCGCAGCATCGATATCAATTACAACATCGATATAAATTTTATAATCAATAACAGCATCGATATCAATTTTATAATCGATAACCACCAACTAATCGCGATTTATCGAAGCACTGCCATCTCAATTGGATTTGTGGGGCAGATTTTCCCGCGCCCTTTGGCGCAGTTGTGACCCATTACTCCGCCTTGCCTCGACCCCCAGAAGGAGAAGGGGCTCTTGCCAGGAGCACATTGGCCGCATCTCGACCGAGTACAAGGTCAACAACAGGGGCTGCTCCCACCAGGGTCTGGCCCAGCCCGGCAGACGGGGCATGACCTGTGCCTGCCCCACCCACTACCACTGCCCAAGGACGCCAGAGGAACAGCTTGGGCCGACTGCTGCCGAACACGACAGACTGCCCGAATGTGCCGATGCCAGTGCCCCGCAAGAATATCCGTGCCGTGGACTATGATCCGAATGGGGAATGGTGACATGAATAGGGACTGCGTACCCGCCTCCTGGCACTGCCCGCACAAGTCGGATGAAATGGGATGTCCCACATTCCGGGTGGATCAGTTCAGCTGCCAGTCCGGCGAGTGCTTCGACAAGGCTCTGATCTACGATGGTAACTAATATGTTGAAACCTTCTTTTAGTTAAAATATAATAGAAGCAAGGATCAAAAACTAACCAATTTTGTAGAAAATTTATTCATCAATGGCCTAAAATTATGTGGGCAAAACTAAAGGTTTTAGTTTGCCAGAATTATTCAACGGAATCTCTAAATTGAGCAATATGAGCGACTATCCTTTTTGTTTTGACCTATTTCGCTAAAACCTTTTTTTGTTTGACCTATTTCGCTAAAACCTTTTCTACGCAAAATCCAATAAATGCAAGTATTAAGACTAAGCCACTCAAGTAGAAAATATATTCATTAATTGGATAAAATTATGTGGGCATGGCTAAATGTTCTTTATAGCTAATAATATTCGACCGAACATCAAAATTGAGGATATGGTTTCCAATCCTTGACGGAGAACGATTAACCCATTGTAGACCAAGAAGGTATTTTAATAAACCACCGAAAACAAGGAAAATGTATATTTTTAACGAAGTTCGGGTGAAAGATATCGTGGTTTTCTTTTAAGTAAAGAGGGAAGATCTGCAAGGATAATTTACAAACAGTATTAAATTCGGCTGTTTACCTCAACTTTAAATAGAGGGGGCTTAAGTGGGCTAAGTTCTCTTAAGCAGAGGAAAACAAGCGCACAATTTGTATTTCACAGAAAACTCCGCGTAATTGCAATCAAATGCACAGTGTTATTTCATCAAAATAATATGTATTCAGAGTTAATTTATCACAATGTTCCAACTCCGCCGGCAACGAACATACCGCTGGCGGTTGCAGCACCAGACGGCGGCTTCCTGTATGCCGGCGTACGCAGCATAAACTACATATCAGCAGAGCCGGCAGATGCTGCAGAGAAGTCGCAAGTTAAAATCATGTCCACGCGCTTCAACATCATTGCACTCGATGTCAGTCCCATGTGGGGTAAGGGGAGACAGCCATTTGCCATAGTTGGCGACGATCTGAGTGTGCAAGTGTGGGACTGCATGGTGGGCGGGGCTGTCAGCGGCCACAAGGCGCATCAACATCAGCACGAAGCCCGCAATTTCAGAGGAAGCCGTCCCTTTGAAACTGCCGTTCTAATGAGCTACATGAGCAACGGCAATATACTTTCGATAGATGCCAGTGATTTGGTCATCTACTGTGTGGCCTCCAACACCTTTTGCCGTCGTCCCACATTCATTCCGTCGCGCAATCACCACCCCGAAGTCCTGCGCTGCTCTCCCTACAACGACAACGTATTTGCTTTGGGCACGACGTTGGGAGCTGTGTTAGTTTGCGATTTGCTCAAGATGAGTATCGTTTATAAATTCAATGGCCATAAGAACTGTATCAATGGATTGGCATGGCGGCAGGTATCTCTCCCCTTCGAAGAGGAAAAGTTGAATCTCGATACGTTGTCCTCGCGAGCTGAGCAGTGGCGCAGTCGCAAAGAAGATGAGGCAGCCGAAGCCTCTTCCAAACCAAAACCCAAACCCCCTCCGCTGGTCAAGTCCAAGCCAGCCGAATCCGATGATCCGTTTGACATTTACAACTTTGATCATCTGGAATGCGAGTTCGGCGCGCCAGTAGACGCCCACCGCAAGTCATCCGACGATTGCGGTGACGACTTTGTTGGCCTGGAGAAGCCCGCAGGGGCCGCTGCCCTCGATTTTGTGGAGGCCTGTGAGAGCATTAAAGCGGATATAATGGCCAATCGCTCGGAGGCGGTTGGCGGTGTGGAGGTCACTTTAGACGACTGCCAGCCCACAAAACCAACTGGTCCCCTCAGCGATGCCAGCAACATAAGCAACAATGACAGCGCAACAAGCAACAATCAGAATGCCGCCCTGCCCAGCGATTCCACTGAAGGCAGTCTGGAGGTTATCCAATACAGCTCCTCCAGCGACGATGCCGTGATCGTCGATGGCGATGCAGCCAAGCCGAAACGAGAGGTGCTGCATCACATCTATCACCGGGCCGAAGTGCACGCTCCCGAGACATCTCAAATTCAAATGAATCCCGAGCCTGATTTAAAAACCGCATTGGTTGAGGAGAGCAGTACCGAGTCGATTATTTCGAGTTCCATAAACTCTTCCATTCGCCCAGACATTCTCCTGGTCTCCGTTGATGCCGAAGAGGTGGTGATGATCTGGAATACGAACACGGGCGCACATGCCGGCAAGAACTACAGCAGTGGCAAGTCAACAGGTGAGCTCCATATGAAAAACACAGCCCTGGACCATCTTCATCCCTAGATATTTTTACAGATCAGTATTGCAGTGTCATGTGGCTAAATGACCGCACCATTGTCTCCCTGGGTCGGCATCAGTTGTCCTTCTGGTCACTGGTGTACGATCGAAAAATGCTTCGCTACAAGATCAACAAGGACAAGGAGCACAAGTGTGGCACAAAGGACATATTATCTTTTGCCACTAAATGCAGCAAACAGCAGCTATGGGTGTGCAGAAACAATCGCACGACCGGACTGATGGATCCCCTCACTGGCCACATAATCACCAACTACAGCTCATTGGTCTTTGGAGTGCGGGCCATGGTCGAGTGTCCGGATGATATGAACAAGTAACCCATCAAGCTTACTTATCAATTTTCTTTATATGAAACTAATTTACCGCTACTTCGCTCTCCAGAATCGCTCTGGGATGTTCGGACCGTCGCGTGGCCTTCTTTGATCTGTCTAAACTGGCCACGAACGGCACGGCCATCACTACTAGCCATATTGGTAGCAACGTCTACTCCCTGGCTTGGAGTCCCGACTGCTTGCAACTCGCCTGCGGCACCTACGAGGGATCTGTGAGTTTTTACTTTGACTTTAATCGAGAGTACATAAATTAATCAACGTTACAAAATAGGTGGCGATTCTCGACGTGGAGACCATGAAAGTGAAAAGAACCATTCAAGGGCCCCAAAAGAAAGAAGTCTACAGTTTGGTGTGGCAGGAAAACTACATCTACTTTGTTGTGAACCGCAAGCTTTGCTTCGTTGATATAAGCCGGCCCAAAACAGGTGAGTTAGAAGCTCTTCTCAGCATCGCTTCTCATTTGTGCTGTCGTGTGTTGTAGGTCTGGTTCTGGGCATTGCGCTGGCCATAGCTGATGTTTGTCTGGGCATCGTGAGTCTGTCGCTTGCGAATCTCTGCCATGTGTATGGTCTCGCGGTGGTAGTCCCACACATTCCATGTCACATTTATCCAGTTCGGGGCCGACAAGTCATTGGTGACCACCATTTCGGTTTGACCCGCGAAATCTTTTTGCTTCGGAGGCTCCACAATCAAGTCCTGCAGCTCATGGGATATGAGAGCTTCGTCCAGCTTAAAGAGCAACGCCAAGTTGGCACTATTAAAGATCACTTTCCTGAAGGCCGGTATAAACTGCTCGAAGCAAAGCTCCGTGAACCTGCCATACATGTGGTCCCTCAAACCAAATGTTATGTCCACATTCACGCAGAGCTTTCGCGTCACTTTAGCTGGCAACAAAAGCCCGTTGGTTATGGTCAAGGTCAGGGCACAAAAATCCTTGATATCCGCCTGGGCCAAGCTACAAAAGTTTGCGTCCGTGTGGTAGTCGGTCATGACGGCTATGCGATCAAGAAATTTTATTTTCTGCGGCACCTTGATGCGTTTGTGCAACGCCTGGAGCTCGGCAATTGTAGCCTCTGCCGCATCCTTGATCTGAGCGGGCACCAGTATTTCCAGTTGCTCCCGCAACTTGTTTAGCTCGACAACGTGATTGAGGAAGTTATTCAGATTGCTCCAAACCTGCGAGATGTACACAAAGTGCGGCTAATGGATGGACAGAGGAGTGTTAGAAGGACCGACGACGACCCCGACTCTATCTGCTTGCCACTTACGAATATCAGCTCCGAGTCGATGGCCGTGCGCATGGCCAGAGTGTCGTTTATCTTTGCCACCACACACTCGTAGCGCTTTCGCTCCACCTCAATGAGATAGACGGTGCTCTCATAGCTGCGATGCAATGCGTCCAGGCAACGTTGCTGCATGGTGTAGATGATGGTGAACTGATTGAGTCGCTGCAAGTGCTCAAGAGGCACTCGATAGGTCATCGTTGTGTCCTTGGGATCCAGGTAAATCATCTCATCGATGGCCGCTTGGCATAGCGACTGCATCTTTGCCGCTCCATCCAGAGCCAGCTGGAAGGCAGAGCTCGTGTTTTTCTGAGCCATCTCCAGGTCGCCAACGACTGAGATGGGAAAAGCAAAAACCGAATTTACGTTGCAGATTCCTGGAGTTCATGATCTGCACTCACTATATCTCACATTTTCCCGGTCCCCATCCGGTCCATCGTTGTTGTAGATGACTATACCGCCCACAGTGGCCGCCAGACGCTGCAGGTACTCTAGTCGATGGTATTTCTTCTTCAGCACATAATTCTGCAGATCGCTACGCCCGATCACGCTGTTCAGGGCCTGAGCTGTCAACTTAAGCAACACGTGGTTCTTGGGACAGCCCAGGTTGTAGCAGGTCACAATAAAGACCTGCATCTTGGCAAAGAGCTGATCCAGCTGCGCCTTGCTGCAGGTCTCCGGGTACTGCAGAATGTCGTCGATGAGCAGCTTCAGTTCGTTGAGGAACCTCTCCTCGTATTGCTCCTTTACGTACTGCAGATCGATGCCGCGACCCTTCTTCATCACCCACGACATCTTCATGTTGGCCATTGTGCAATCCACTGGACTCACATAGCTCTCGACAATGCCATCCACGAAACCGTTGATGGCACAGGTATGCTTGTTCAGGTCGCTCTTGAGCAGGCCCCGTCGCAAGTCGCGGGCAAGCAGATGCACCACGAAAATGATGAACTCCTCCTCCACATCCAGATCGAGCTGTTCGAAGCGCTTCATGATTCGCCGCCCAATCTCCACCAGAGCCCTGTGTCGCGGCATTATGATACTGAACAATAAATTTGATTTTTGCCTTTGTTAAGGAAGAAAACTAGGAAATTAAGGAAATGTAGGGCTGCTTGTTATTTGTTTGTGCCGTTGCTCCCAGAAACGCCAGCCTACTGTGTTACTCAATACAGTTGGGGGGCAAAGGTCATGTCTATACGACTATTTCCGTATATCTATTAAAATCTTTAATCATTTAAATCTGGTACTTAGAATTCTAGAAGGGCCACGCAAATTAATCTTCCGAAATGATATTCACACAAACTTTCCTATACATTTCTTTGACAGAAGTTATTGTTCTCAACCTAATGGAACGCACGTGCTTCCTGAGCATTCGTGGATCCTTCCTCTTTTTGGGCTCCGAGGACGGCGTACTGCAGTTGCACGAACATAAGCCCGACCAGATTTCCAGATGGGGCCCTGTTCTGCGCCAGTCAGCACTGCTGTCTCGGTACATTACGGACATTACCTGGAATCCGTTGGAGAGCAATGTCTTTGCTGTTGTGGGCCACGACAAGTATGTCATAATATTGGAATTTCTGGAGGCAGATCGCAACTGGAGGACGCTCCATACATTCACGGCCAGCGACCCGAAGGGATCGATCACCTCGCTGAAGTGGAGCAATTATCAGAAGAACCTGTTGCTCACTTTCCACATCGAGGGAAAGGTGTGCATGTGGGACACTCATGATCCGAAGAAGCCGCCTCTGACCATAACCTACCACTGCCCCATGTGGTGCGGCATGTTCTTGCCCTCCGATGAGAACATCGTGATGTGCTCTGGCAAGTCGATTTCCTTGGAACTTATCAATATTAAAGACGCATTGGCTGGAGACGAGAGAAACATTTGCTCCAAAGTTGATGGACTGCTCAATGTCAAGTGGGCCACCAAATCCCTGGTGCAGCCGTATGCACCTCCCACCAGAGCAGAGGTTAAAAAAATTCAGCGCAAAGATCGACGTATGAGGAGGGTCCATGGAGAGCCACGTGAAGTGCGGGAAGTGATCCCAAATGACCCCAATGACCGAAAAGTACAGGAGATGTTCGACGCTATGACCCTCGACCAGAAACCAGAGCCTAGCCAGAGCACAAACGAGTGCCGCAAGTGCAAGGAAAATGAGTCTGCTAGCCAGGCTCCAGAGAGTGTCCCTACCGTAAGTCAAAGTTCGTGTAGATGCCATGACAGTAACTTTATCTTGTTTGCAACCATAGATTACCCGCACCTGCCTCTACCTCGCCCAAAAGGATCTCAACAAGAATGCCCTGGGAAAGCTGGCGATTGTGCTGACCGAAGATGCGGAAAAGATTGACAAATCCGTGCTCCTGTCTAAGCTGTTTGGCACCAAGGCGATGGCCAAGGAGCTAATTGAAATGGAGTGTAAGTGAAATTCAAACTCAAGCAGAACATTAATGACAAGAAAACTATTTCAGTGACCAATTTAAAGCACTCCAATTCGAAGGATATTGCTCCGCTTTGCCTGACTATATCCACATTTAAGCTGCGCAAGGAGTTAGAGGAGCACATCGCCAACCAGACACTTACGGAAGGTCACCTGGCTGTGGCCCCCTCCGTGTCCTATGTGTAAGTCCTTGGCCACGTCCTGTGTGTCACTCGCTAAAACGCCATATATCTTGTTTAGGTTTTGGCGAGACTGTTGCGAAGCCTATGCCAAGCAGATGGAGGGGAAGGGCTACATCATGCATGCGGCCACGTATCGCTTTAGCTTGGGCCAGCATAGGGAGGCCATCGATCTGCTCCTGGCCAACGAATATTTTAAGGAGGCCTTGGTCCATGCCCGCATCAGCTTGCCGGCCACGGACCCCAAGATAAAAACCATCATCAATCAGTGGCTGGAGAGGCTGGAGAAGACGGGAAACTTTGGAGCGGCTGCTCTGATGTGAGTGCAACCGAAGTGTAGATAGTAGGTAGTTAAAGCTAATGCCATTCCCTCCACAGATGCGTGCTGGACAACGAGATGATGCGTGGGTACATGTATCTGCGCAAGTTCCACAATTGCACGCCCGAGATAGCCGATCTAATGGCCCAAATCAAGCGCCTTGGCCAGCTGGGCGAAGTGTTAGATGGCTGCGCTCCCGGTGAACCACCAGCCCTGAATGGAGAAGCTAGCGACCATGTTGCCTAATTGATATTAAGTTATTTTCAAACATAGAAAAGGCTGTACACTTTTATGCATTTCATAGTTTATCCCAAGGCAGAAACAAGAGCTGCGCCGTAACTGAAATATTTGATTTAATCAACATGAAATGCACTATACAATAGATAGAGAAAACATGAAAATTGATTTTTGAATAAATGAAAATGAGAAACATTAATTAGAACCAGCTGCTGATGCCAGCTCCAGCCCAAGCTGCCATTCACTCGAGCCATTTCTTATCAGCCGTAAGACCTGCGGCCCAGACAAAGGTATGACCGTTAGGCCTCATTTTTGTCTGGTCTGGGCTGCTTTGTTTTTGGCTGAAATCAAATTATGCAAATGCCGGTGCTCGCTCCCTCCCTCTGAGCATCGTTGCCAGTTAGAAATTAAGTCTTAATTGTTGGAACAAAAGTCAGGGCGAGCGAACTTGCTGCCCAGCAGACGGCCAGAAAACCAACAAAATCTACAAACAAACAAACAAACGAAAGATGGAAATGAACGACAGACAGAAGCATGGTCTGGGGCCCGGTCTCCGAGCACATTTCAGTTGCCAAACAGCCGTCGTAGCGCTCGCTCAGCTGGCGCGGAGATTAGTTTCCGAGTGTTCGGTGTGGTTCGGCGTTCGTTTCGTTTCGTTTTGTTTCGCGTTTCCTGAGTCATTTTCGAATTTCACTTTTAACTGTTTGTAGGCAAGCGCGCCAACTCGAACGTACCGTTACCGCTGCACGTTACGGTTATTTATGTGAGTGAACGAGAGAGGAGAGCAGAGTGGAGTGGTGACCCATCCGCCTATACGATACGATACGATACGATGCGGACTGTGTGCGAGTATTATCAGCACATGGCATGCATGTGCGTGTGGCTCCGCTTTTCTCACGTCCCATCAAGTTTGACTTGACCCAGCTTACGCTTGCGCTTATGGACTAACCGTTGTACAATTAAATAACAATTAGATTATAATTATGTCCAAGCACATTTCGCTTGTGCAAAACAAGTTTTTCAGTTTATTCAATTTGTGCGGGTAAAAGTGTTGAGAACAAAAGTGTTCCCCCATAAGTTGATCTCGACTCCGCCAGTGGAGTCAGCCTCAAGCTACGCTTCGCTCCGCTCCGTTCCCATGCGAACGACGCAATTTGCATGCGCGACAAGCCCAAAAACTTCTCTTCTTTGGGCATGACTCAACATTGAACAATTTTGTCGTATGCGAATGCGTGTTTCTGGGTTGTCGAGTGTGAGTGTCGCTGAGGAGCAATCATTTCTTGCTTGACTGATAATTTGTACGCTTTTCTTTGGTCTTTTCGGTGTATTTCTTATGGCTGTTGTAACTTGGAAGTGAAAGGTAGACATAGTCATTTGTAGACCCATCCCATCCCATTCATGTAGTTTTGATTGCATTTTGAAACGCATATCATAATGGTAGCACATCAGCCCCAGCGCTCCCCCTGAAATCGTCATTCCTTTTCATTTCCATTTCATTCCATTTCGACTCCAACTTTATAATAATAACAATTTGCATAACTTTTCTGTTGCATTGTTGCTTATTCATGCATTCAGTTGGCAATGCAATGAATGTTGTTTCCATTGTTCAAGCTGAGCTGTGTTGTACGTATTGTTGCACTTATGCTATTGAACCCGACATGCCACCGACACGCAGCGCAACTGCAGTCATAATCGCATTAACAACGATCACGAAATTAATTCAATTTCACGAAACGGAAAATACAATGCAAAAAAAATAACAAGGAGGACAACAAAATATTTTGAAATGTGGCTCAGACGCCGTGGGTTCACAGAAATTATGTTGAATCTGCATAATTTCGTAATCTTGGCAGCGGGCATATGAACGCTTCGACACGGGCGTGGCCTGGCACTCAGTCAAGGGCGCACTGGATTCGTTTTGCCGCCTTTCCCTGCCACTCCACAGCCAGTGCTAATGAACAGCAGCAGCCCCCTCCGGTCCCGAAACCCGTTTCAATGGCGGCAGCTTTGCCCCGAAAAACCGGACAACAACCTAAAGAGCTGGCTATAGACTCATGCATATAGTTTGTATGTTTGTCCAGAAAATTAGCAATAAAACGAAGTTGGCTTGCAATTCTTTCCGGCCACCAAAGAAAGCCAGACCAGGCCAGGCCAAGCCAAGCCACTGTTGGACTGGGCCATGGACTGGGTCTGGGACTGGGACTGGGACAGGAAAGAGCTTAGAGCATGGAGCTGGCAGGGGGCCCAGGCCCAACTGTGCAACGTCTGCGGAATGTCAATGGGGCAAGTCAACGACTGACACTTTAAGGTGCGCATATCCGGCGCGTCGCTCCATATGGGGAGCAGGCAAAGACAGGGCTGGTCCCAGTCAACACGCCCCCATCATAATCGATGATGATCATGATGATGAAGATGATGTTGATGGCACACCTGCGTGATGACGGCATTGACAACGAGTTCGTCGCCTCGTCTGGATGACGCTGTCTATTATAGGAAGATTACCGTATCCGTCTAAGCCGCTAACTGGCTGTGGCTCTAGCTCTGGCTCTGGCTTTGGCTCTGAGTGATGTGTTGGCGAGGCGTCTCAATTGCCTACACTCCACAACACAAGATCGTGGGCAATTATTCGAGTATACCTCCGTAATGGAGCTCTCACTGAATGGGGTGGGCTGTAGATGATCAACCACTTAAATGGTCATTTCGGGGATACTCCTGCTTCTTCAGTCTTCAAGTGGCCCAATCTACACTTTGACTTTGTAGAGCAGTGTAATTGATTAAATGATTTAATTTTAGTTCGGCTTGGCTTGGCGAGCATACAAATTCATTTGTCATGACATAAGGCAACAGGTACTCGGCGGCAAGCGGCAACTGTTGTACATTGTCAATATTTGAGCACGAGCTTCGTATCGCCCGTAAATATTGGTTTAGGGTCAAATATTTGCTTGGCTAGCGCCGCAGGGCACAACAAAAGATTTGGGCAACGAACTGGCTTTGTAGAAAAGTGAAAATCTTCTAGAGAATATGGCACAGGCCGTTAGCTCTCGAGAGCTCGCGACACTCGAGAGAGTGAATGCGTGTGTGTGTGTGTGAAACAAGTTCGTTCCCTAAGTCTTTTGTTGGACGAGTATATCGAACACCTTGACTCGTCTCAAACACAAACGCTTGGCACTCATTCGAATTCTCATTTCAGCATCAACCTAGCATGACAAGGCTCAATTAGGCCGCCTAACGCTTTCATCCAACCACCAAACACCAAGCACCAAGCCCCAGCAGCGGTCTGGACTCAAAACTCATTCAGACATAAACCAAGATCTAGAACTAGAGCTTCTTCCCGCCACGCATCGCACCACTGACCTCCTGCGGGCAAGCCAAGGCCGGCAGCAGCTGGCGGTTGAGCAGGCTTACCATCTCCATCTCCCTTCCCAACGCCACATTTCTCTGCATTTCTCTGAGCTGAACCATCTTCTAATACCATCTTCTGCCGAAACCGCAACCGCAACCGAAACCGAAACACGAATAAAATGAATTATCAGAAGGCCAGTGAAAAGCATTCGCCGTCCTCATTGAAGCAGAGGCCTTCGGGCACCAGCGGCAGCATACAAAACTTTTGGAACGAACGCATTATGGAGCGCTTTATAAAGGCGAATCTATTCATTATATGCTGCGTGGTGGCTGTTCTATTGCTGGTGAGTAGTACAATGGGATCGATATCCAGCCCTGTGTCAGAGGGAAATAAATACAAGATACCTTAATATTAGGATACTTTAGCTACCAAAATATCACCAATTAGATAGACAGAAAGATACAATCCTCCTCCCCCTTCTATTCGAATATCTGGCAGTCGGAATGCTATGTGGCTGTTTTTACCCCAGTATAGTCACTACTTGGTGATATATGACCATCATATTATTGGTATGTCTCTCCTCCGCACACCTGTCCGCATGTCTGTCCATTCGTCGACTGTCTCCTCAACTGGCGGCTGTCCGTGAACCACTATTCGTATCAGTGTGTAAACATTTTTGCCCCATTAAGTGAAAATGAAATGAAATCGTTTTTGTGCATCGTGCAAAATGTACAAATTTCATCTTTTTTTGTTGTTTTTGTTTTGCTCTCTGTTTGTGCTGTCAGAGGGGGGTCGGTGCAGGAGAGGGGGCTCATTAATTGATTGATGGATGATTGTGGAGCAAAGATGTCTCCGGTTTTTGTTCCGCCACATCGCGTCGTCATCACATCTTCTCTTGCCATCGCATGATTTATGTTTTCGCTTTTCTTTTGCGATTGTGGGTTAATTTCCATTTCTCTTTTCGTTTGTCCCCACCCGACCACGGCAGATTGTCTACCTGGGGGCCTTCTCGTGTGAGGTCTCGTGGATACTGGAGGCCCATGGAGAGCTTCCCTTCGCCGCCTACACCCTGTGCACCCTCTACTTTGTGATGTTCGTGGCAACCACGATCCTGATCCACGGTCTGGTCAGCGGTCTGTGCTGGCCCCTGTTCGCCTGGTCAGGCATCATTGGCATTCTCTCCATCCCGGAGCTGGTCTTTGTGATGATCATGACCACGCAGCACTGGGTAAGTGAGCGCAATAGGAATCCGCTAGAACTGTTCCGTAATTTCCATCTTTATTTCGAATGATTTTAGGGCCTGCAGTCGGTGCACGGACTGACGGAGCTAACCTCGTACCTGATCCGCCTGATCATCAACTGCTTGGCGTTGATCTGCGTCATACCCACGGGGATTCGGTGGCGCCGCGAGACGCAGGTGCTCAGCCAGCTGCAGGGCCTGGCCACGCGGCTATCTCTGCAGACCCCGGCACCCAGCGTGCCCATGACCAAGGCGGACTCTAGGCGTTCCAGTCAGCGGCTGAGCGGCTTCGAGAATGCCGGCTATCAGCTGTGCGATGAAACGGCCAAGCTGCCCCTGGGCTCCGGCTTGGGGATGGGACTGAGCAACCAGTGCGGCGGTGGCAGCCAGGCCTATGGCTCCCAGAACGAGTTCAATGCCAGCATGTTTGCCCCGGCCTTGGCCCAACAGTTCAACAACGCCGCCCAGATGCAGCGTGCGGCAGGAGGAGGTGGAGGAGGACCGCCGGGACATCGCGCCCAGTCTCTGATGGACTTGCGCTGCACCTTGCCGGGAATGTACAACCCCCGCCACGTCCTGGACACAGAGGACAAGAATGCCAAGTACTTCAACATAACCATCGACGACCTTAAGAACAATCTGCAGGACTCGCATCGGCCGTCGCCACCCTCACTCATCGGCTCGGCCAGCAACGATCCCATATACTGCTCCATCGAGCCCAAGCAGATGACCCCACCGCCTGCCCAACAGCGTTCGCAACACGGACATCGCCCTAGGGGCAGCCACAAGCAGCCGCCGCCGGGCCAGCTCTCGAGGAACTGCATCTCCCTGGAGAACCTGGAAGGAATCAACAAGGTGCAGAATGACCTGAATGCCTACGGCAACAACCTGCTGCAGAACTACACGCAGCAGCAGCAGTACTACCTGGCCATGCTGCTCAATCCCCTCCACCAGCAACAGCAACAGCAGATGCAGCAACTGCAACAGCACCACCACCAGGCGGCAGGGGGCATCTACCGCAGGCCGTCCACCTGCAGCTCGATCGGTGGATTCACCGGAACGGTGCTCGCCCAGCCGCGGCGCGGCTCCCACCACAGCCAGCAGATGCAGTACTACGGGGGCTTTGGGTATGCCAACTATGCCAATCCCTACATCACGGCCAACAGCAAGCTGTCGCTGGGCAACGAGTCCGACGACTACCGCAAGTACCGCGATGTGGCCCTGTAGGCGGTCCAGGTCCAGTCCAGTCCAGTCCAGTCCAGTCAGCGCTTAGATTAAACTTATATTATATGTATATTGTAGGACATGCTCGAATTAGAATGAGATTCCTCGGAATAACGACCAAAGAGCCACAAACTAACTCAGTTTCCGTTCGCAAACCAACACGTGAGGAGGCAGCGACAAACTCCAGAAACTTGTTGAAATCATCGACTAACTAACTAGCAACATCAACTAGGTGTACTCTAAGTTTAGACGTAAGCATCGACAGCGAACATTCATCGTTTAATATTGTAGCTAGGAATACGAAAACGAATACGAATAACAATACTCGATTACTCGAACTGATCGGCAGTCCCAACCATTCACAGACAGATCGAAAACTGTACATATTTGTAATTAAAAGCAATCATGTTTCACTTAAAGCCCAACAGATCGGCCAGGGGATTGTCGCCAGAGCTGGCTGGAATGGTTGTTGCAGTGCGGGTTCTGCTAGGAGCGGGCTTACTCGCATTGTGGGGCAGAGGCTGAGGCTTGGCCTGCTTGCTCGTCGCAGCTCCTCCGAATAGATCATCGTCGTCTTCATCGTCGCTAAAGAGGGTATTGCTCTTGCTCGACTGGGCAGGCACGATCTTTTTCTTAGGAGCAATCTTCGCCGGCAACTTGAAGTCCTCATCCTCGTCGCTGCTAAACAGAGAAGCTGCTGGCGGTTTGGAGGGCACCTTGGCCTGGACAGAGGGCAGTGGGGCGGACACTGATGCACTGGCAAACAAATCATCATCGTCATCGCTCTCATCGAACAACTTGGCTGGTCTCACCGCCAGCGTATGTGCTTTGGGCTGTATGTGATCCTCTGGCGGCTCACTGGGCAGACGAGCAGTCAGTACCTTAGCTTTAGGAGCTCCCATAGTCTTAGTGGCAGGAATCACCTGGCTTTCCGCTGATGAAACGGTTTGTATCGCAGCCGACACAGTCTTAGCAGGAGCAAAAAGGTCCTCATCTTCATCATCACTGTCCAAAAAAGATCGTACCAGTTTGGCCAGAGTCGGTGTCTTTTTTGGAGCTGTTGCTGTAGATTGTGGAGCTACCTCAGCCGTTGGCTGCTGCCCATCTGCCAGCACACTCTTGGCGTAGTTCTCCTTCCTGCCCTGCCTGGTCGATGGTCGCCTTCGAGCCGGTCCTCGAGCCCGTGTTTTGTTCACGTGTTGAAGGCCATTATCCCCGCCGCTGGGTGTGAAGTCCTCATTGGGCCTGGGTGAGGTGGCACTCGATGGTTTAGCACCTGATGTTAATACCTCTGCTTCTTGTGTAGGAGACGCAGGCTCCTGCTTCTTTGGGAACTTGGGCAGGCCTCCTCCGGTGCCAGGGAGCAAAGCCTGAACATTGATGTTGATATTGGGCATCTTCAGTTTCTTCACGGGAGATGTGGGAGCAGACAAGTTAGATGCTTCTTGTACCTTGCTGCGGTCTACTTCATCGGATGGTTCTTCTTGATGCTCCTCCTCTACGATGGAAGTGGGATTGCTCTGCTCTACGGCTCCTGCTCTAGCCGTTTCACTGAAGTCATCATAGAAAATCGTATGGATCCGGGTTGTGTGCGAAGGAACATCGATGGGATGTGCTGCAGCATGCTTCTGACTCTCAGCAGAGTCGTCATCGTCATCGGGTGGCACATCGCTGAACAAACCAATGGCCCCATGGTCGCCGGGGGTCGTTGCCGAGCTCTTGTTTGCAACGGGAATCTTGGGCAGCGCCGGCTCAAAGAAGTCCTGCTCGTTCTCAAACATTTTCGAGGCACTCAAGCTGCTGAGGCTGCTGCTGCCTAGTGTCTGGAAGAACTCGCTGTCATCCGGAGGCTCCTCGGAGAAAAGACTTGTGTAGTTCTGCATGATTTGCTGGGAAGCATCGATATCAGCTTCAGGTTCCGTCGTAGAGACTTTGGATGTTTTATTTGTGATATCAGCCACCATAGTTATGATAGGGTCTTCATCGTCATCCAGATCATCCGGCGGAGGGGTCTCTGAGACAGGTGCTCCGATTTTCGGGCTGCCAAATAGATCCGCCATGACGTCGACTTTGTCTTTGTTGGGACTTTCATCTTGCGTTTTGTTCGGTGGCTCCGGAGTTGGCAGGATTGTCTCTGGCAGTTTCAGTGGCTTAATTTCTTTGTCCAACTCTTGTGGCTCAATCTCTTTACTAATTTCCATGGCACCAGCAGTAGCATCTTCTGACTTGGTCTTTGCTGTGCTCATAAATGAATCATCATCGCTGAAATCTTCGTTAAACAAGTCAGCCGTTTCGCATGCAACTACTTGCACCCTGCTAACCTGCTGAGGGTTCGATTTCTCTTCAATAATCTCAATGGATGCTGTGGGTTTGTGGTGAATATATCCGTTCTCCGATAATACTTCTTGCTTCTTCTCTTCAATTTCCTGCGCTGGCTGGGCTTTTTCTTGAACAATCTCAACAGGTTCCTTCAATTTCTCCGTTTTGGTTTCAACTTCTCTCTCTTCCGATGGTTCCCCGCCACTGGCAAATAAGTTCTTGGACTTTGGCGTTCCGAATAGATCCTCATCCTGAATGTCATCAAAAAGATCTTTCTTTGGAGCCATAGGCGTTTCTGTTTTCTTTTCAACTAACAGATCTTCCTCTTTTTTGTTCTCCTGGACTCCAATGGGTTTCTTCTTTGAGCCAAACAAATCAGTGACATCATACTGGTCGTCATCATCAAACAGAGAGTTTTTCCCAACTAATCTCTCTGAGAGTTTGTTCGGCTGCATCGATGGCTTGACAAATATATCATCTATATCCAAATCATCGTCATCGAATAGGGAGGATTTAAGTTTTTGTTCTGGTGGCTTTGGTTTGGGGGAAAAGGAGCTTAGGAAGTCATCTTCCAGATCATCATCAAAAAGAGACTTTGGCAACGGTTTCGCAGACTTTTTGGGAGGATTTTCAATCGGCGTGGCACTCAAAGATGACGGCCCGTCATTAAAGATGGCCCTAGACAGATCATTGGTCGCATCATTAAGCGGAGTCTGCGTTGCAATGGGACTCAACGGTGGACTGTCATCAAAGAGATTAACTGTTTTGGGTCTGGGCTGAGTTGATACAATCTCATTGATCTGCTTGGGAGTGTCCTGTTTGATTGCTTGAACCACTTCGGGCAACTTGTTTTGTTGATGCAATGTTCCAGCGGATGTTGGGTTGTTTCCCGACTTGGTCTGCACCTTGTCCACGATTTCAGACATTAAAGAGTTGAATTCATCATCATTAAAGAGATTTACAGGCTTGCGCTTAATTGGGCTGGGATTAGCCTCAGTTTTCTTGGGAATTTGTGGGGGCACAGCTTCGTCGAATAGCCCTGGCGGTGGGTGATGGACTGTGCTGCTGTTGCTGGAGCTCAGAGAGGCCTCCGATGCAATTGGCAAGCGAGCAGCTGTATTCCTGTGGCCAATGGCAGGCGACGATCTGGGCGAGGATGAAGTAGACGGCGGATCATCGCTTGGCGGTGATTGCCGAAGGGCAGCAAACAAGTCACGTTCATGGGGATTCCGTTGACTGCTTATAATTGGACGTGGCTGTGTCCTATTGGCAACAGCTTCCCTTGGCTGGTCAGCAGGGGCTAAGATAGGAGCTGCATTAGCTGGAATCTGAAGCTTAGGTGGGGACACAACTACCGGCCCCATGGTCGCCGAGGCCAAGGAGGAAGAGTCGGATAGCTGTGGCTGCACGAATTTTTTCCCTTGCGTAGGTGTTTTACTAGACACTGACTCCCTCTCATCCGATGAGCTGGAGGAGAATTCCTCAGACTTTTCATCATCGCTGTTCTCTTTGCTATCAAAGAGTCCAGCATACTTGTGCTCCTGCCATTCCCTAGAGCCAATAATGTAGGGCAAGGGAATGGCATCGTACGGGTTCTTGGCGCGAAAGATTGTTCTGTCGATTAGAATAGTTAATAAGGAGTGCATCTTTATAAACACAACCCACATACGTAGAATCAACTGGCGCATCGTCGTCGTCCGAATCGGGCACGTCAATGGTCACCGGCTCAAAGTTCTTGCGAAACATTCGCAGATTGTTTTCTATAAATTCTTTCGACATTTCCTCGGAACTTTTTGGGAGAGGCTCAGGCTGCAAGTAAATATTGATTATAAACAATTCTCCAAGGAAAATTCATTGGCTGATGGTACCTTCTTCTTCTTTTCCGCAGGCATCTGAAAGTCGTCATCGTCAATCTCCTGCACCCGATACTCCACAAACTGTTGCCCGAACTGAAGAGAGCGCAGGCTGTTGGTAGCATTGCTCATCGCTATATCGGCTTCCTTGACACTAGTTTCGAACTCTCTCAGATTCCGAGTGGTCCGTTCCCCTCGTTCGTGCAGGTTCTGGGCAAAAAATATTTAATTAGTTTGCTGATAAGCCGAGTCAGTTGCACGAACCTGGGAGATGCGCTTCATTAGAGCCAGGAGAGCACAATCGCCAGCAAAGTTCCATTCTGGCGCCTGGGCAGTTATATCTGCAATTTCAGAATCTATATCCATTGTCAGTCAAACACAGAGTGCAGATTCAAAATTAAATAATAACAATGCAAAACAAAGAGAAGGAAAAATTAACAACACAGCAGAGATGAGCGCCGTTCACTTAACTGCTACTTGTTGCTACTTAAAATCACTGCTGATCGAAGTGATACTGGGGAAAGAGGAATCGCGGTAAGGATACTGGCAACTAAGATTTCGAATCTAATTTCGCTTTCCTTGTTAATTTACATAATACAGTCATTTTATATCTCGGTTGAAAAGTTACTTTTATTCACGGTTACGAATAGACGTTACTGCGACATTAAAATACTATCGCTCATCTGTATCCAGCAGCTGTTTTTCTATCGCTATCGATAAGTTCAATTGATAACACGTGTTGTGCCCGTCCGCATTTATTTAATATTATTAGAAGTTTTTAAAAATAAAATGGCTATGCTGGCAGAACCACGTCGCCGCAAACGGTACAATTTGTGCCCGCGCGGCAAGGCCCTGTACGAAGGTAAAGTCCTCGAAATCAAATGGTAACAAAATTGACTGAATGCTGGATATTTTGCAGATGATGCTCGCTTTGGCACCAAAATGCTCGAGAAAATGGGATGGTCCAAAGGAAAAGGTCTCGGCGCCAACGAGGACGGCCAACGGGACTTCGTTCGTGTTCGCTTGAAGAACGACGCTGAAGGATTGGGCTTCGAGGCAAGAGATGATCAGTGGACCGTTCATGAGGAGGGCTTCAGTGGACTCCTTAAATCGCTCAATGGTGGCACTGATGAAACCAATGGTACAAACGGAGCGGCCTCCGCATCTGAAGATGAGGCTAGACCAATGGGGTTTGGGTTTAAAGCCGCAGAACCAGAAGAGCCGCCCAAAAAGAAGCTCAAAGAGAGGATCAGTGGCATATCGCTGGAGGAGGCGTCAAAGGCGAGCAAGGCGCGTGTGCACTACAAGAAATTCACACGGGGGAAGGATTTATCGCAGTACAGCGAAAAGGACCTGGCCAATATATTCGGAAAAAAGGCCACCGAAGAGATTGACGCACCAGTAAAGATCGAACTAACTCAAGTGGAGGAAAAGGAGATAAATCCCAATTTTAGTGGTGTGACAACAGTAGCCACTGGGCTTTCTGTCCATGATTACTTCAAACAAAAATTGGAAGCCATGAAAAATAAGATCAAAAATGGAAGTGGAAATACCCTTACGCAAAGCCCTGGCACTGATGAGGAGGTCCAGACAGAGAGCGCCCAAAGTGAGCCTATAAAAAAAAAGAAGAAAAAGAACAAGGAGAGAACGGCCAAAGTGCCTGCTGAGGAGGAAGAAAATGTTGAGCCTAAGCAAAAGAAAAAGAAGTCGAAACGTGCCTCCGACCAACAAGTTGAGCAGTCAGATACAACTGCTGAAGACAAACCAGTGGAAGTAGTATCTTTAGATGAAACGTCTTCCAAAACTAAAAAGAAATCAAAGGAAACGAAGGAAACCATTGCAAATGTTTTAGAAGAGTCCTTAAAGAAGAAAAAGAAGTCAAGGAAAGACAAGAAAGTCGCCGAGACCAAGGAGGATGCAGAATCCGAAGCTGCGACAGCCGTTCCAGATGACTCTGAGAATACCTCTCCGTCCAAGAGTAAAAAGAAGAAAAGATCGAAAGAAACAGTTGATAGCCTTTCAGAGCCTGTGGGGGAGGAAACAAACAAAGCCTCGGGCAATACGCCAGAAGATAAAAACGAATCCCCAGAAGCACCACTAAAAAAGAAAAAGAAGTCGAAGAAAGTCGTGGAGGAAGAGGAGCAATCAGTGACGCCTGTTCTCGATAAAGCTGAAAAATCCTCCAAGAAAAAGAACAAGTTGGGTCGCGATGTACCTGAAGATTCTGCCCCAGCAGCTGACACAGGAAAGAAGCACAAGGACTCAGTAAGTGCTGAACCCAAATCATCCGGCGATAAAAGCGATCAATCAGCCGATGAAGATCAGCATGAGGAGCTCTTATCTCTGGACGAAATAAAAGAAAAAATCAAATCATTCAATATTTATACCATCTCTCAATTTTGCGCAGACAAATTCCAAATGTTTGATATGAATGCGTTTCGAGAATCGTCGCTGGCTGAAATAACAGGCTACGGGTGCAGCGCGAACATGGAGTTGAGGGTAGAGGAGATGAAGAACGACGACAAGCGAATTATGGACCTTTGGAAGAATGAATCGTATGCTAGCTATAAGAAATCTGACAGATTTACAAACACCAGATATCCGAATCAGGTGAAGCGCACGACGCTACGGGCCGTGAAGAAAAGATTCGCATTTCAGGCCATTTGATTAGGGCAAAACGAAATATATGTAATTCAACGTTATTCTTAATACGATTTGTTTGTACATAAACAACTTAATTAAGTTTATTTTAAGCTTCATGGTCTACATTTTAATGTGTAACGCCGATAATTAAACTGAACTACATATGCCCCGCAAAGCTGTGCCATAATCTTCAGTCTTATTCATAGAACCAAGATGCGGCGTGACTCTGGTGGGATATGCACTCCACTCAACTCCCCCTTTAGTCTGCGCTTGAATGTTAGGTACTCTCGCTGGTGCTGGTACTTGTGTAGTGTTCTAATATCAATGGGGTGCGTTGCCGCCTTAAAGCTAATCATGAAATACCAACACGCTTAAGACTAGTCTGGCGTCCCACGATTCGCTAGACGGCGCGAACGGCGCAGTGGTCTTTTGTCCTGATCGGAGCTCTGCTGACGTTTCTCCGACCGATTGGCGTTGTTTCGATTAAAGTTGTTCAAATGAACGTGTGAGTCCCACTGCGAGAGAGATACAACCATAGAAAAATGATTCCACATGTACACCAGATGTGTTTTTGTCAACTTACCGATCCAGACACGATTTCCGAGCGCACTGGATGCCAGTCCAAGTCTCTTACCACATTCCTGTGCCCCTCAATAGCCTCTTTGATCCTGCCAGTCAGCACGTCGTAAACTGTAACCGATACGCAATTAAAGCTTTTTCAATTTCTTCTTCATTTTGCCCACTCACTAATAATGCGTCCCGTAGAACATCCTGTGTAGATGAAACGCTGTCCAGTCTGTTCCAAGGGCGAGAACTTGGCGCGCAGCAGTGTTTTGGTTACTCTATGACCACGATAAGTCATTATACTGGAATCCCCGTCCATAGCCTTGCGGGGATCGTAAACTGCAAAAGAATACAATCATTAAACAAGAAATAAACAAAAATAGGGCTGGGAAATGTCCCTTAATCCTTACATGACTGTGGCACCCGATTCCAGCGATAGTCCCACATCGAAAGATCCAGTCGCTCTTGCCTGGTCCTGCTGCAATTTCGCGTATTGCTGGGCTGTCTCAAGTCCCACAGCTTAATGCTTTGATCTTTGGAATTGGAAAGTACATAATAGCCGTCGTTGCGGGAATCAATGTAGGTGATTCCGTCGTAGTGTCCAACCAGGGAGACCACCGCTCTGGACAGTTCCCGAGAGCGAAATGAGGTGCGCAGATCGAATACCTTAATTAGTCCGTCATCGCAGCCAGCGATTATCACATTTGGATTCTTATCATGAAGGTAACTGACGGAGTTCACGTCAGTGCCAGGCATCCGATGAGTGCGCAAGATTTGGGTGGCCCTCGTTTGAATGTCTGTAACGATGACCATGGAATTGTTACTGCCACCAATGATGGTGTCGCCCGTAGGCGAGTACCGAAGCGAGAATATCGCAAGTCGCAGATTGGGCAGCCCGTGGACATCGATCCATTGGCAGTCGTCCTCAGTGCCATTCACAGGCATTATGAAAACTGCAAGAAAATGCAAGTAAAATCAGATTAGTAATTCCTGCTCTGTGTTGCAAACATATGGTTCTATTTATAATGACTTCTTCCAGAGTAAAAAAAGGGAAAAAACAACTTACATGAGCGGGACCATGTGCTGTATGCAAAGTTCTGCCCATTCGGACTGAAGTCAGCATCTATAATGCTCCATTCGACGTCGCGTGCTCTGATGCGATTGAGTAGATGGTAGGTGCCCTTCGCCCCGTCATAGATGCGCACGAAGCCATCTGCAACAGGTAATACGTGTTTAGCGAGGTGAAACTTGACCGTTGTGTCAACCCATTCTGACCTTGGCAGGCAATCAAGAGTCTGTCCCCACTCTTATCAAACTTGGTCACAAACACCTTCGAGTCCAGCGACATCAGACGCAAGGACTTCTTATTTGGTATATACAGATTGGATATATAGCGCTGCTGGTTCTGCGAGAACGAGGCAGTGCCAGGCGCGGCCAGGCCATTTTCACGCTGCTGCAGGGCGTGCAGGAGATTCCAGCGATCGTTCAATGGCTTGCTGGCGAAACCACTCAAAGCCCTTATCTCTTTGTACATGTCGGAGCCCTGCAAATTCATGAAGTACTCGTTAGTCTCGAATGAAAGCTGGAGTATTTCATGATTACTTGAAACTTTTGCAGGTTTGGCTCCCCCCGTATTTTGGGCAATTGGTTTGTGTGATAGCACGTATTACGCATTTCCAACTCCATTGCGTTTACAGTAAAGTTAATGTAATTGTTGATGTCACTGTTGTCTGAAGAATCATCGTCGTCACTTAGAAGACCCACTTGATTTCCCATTCTATATTTTTTTTCCAAATGGGAATTATTTTCTTTTTGTTATTAAATCTACAGTTTTAAGAAGTTGGACTTTTGTCCGAAACGTTAAAATAATAGTAAACGCGTATCGCATGCGGTCTTACTTTTTGGTATATTTTTGTGTGATAGTTCCCAGAGATCTTCCGCTCTGGGAGCTGTCAGCTTTGGTTGGGAACTATCGCATTCGCTCTCGCTGTTCCTTTTTTGATTCTAGCGAAAACAAAAAGGATTTTTTATAATAAGTGACTCCAACTTTACATCACAACCAAAATGCAGCTTGACGGAATGGAATGGAATACTTCGTACAGGACGGCCTGGAAGATGTACATATTGTATACATTTCTGTGTGCGATATATTCGATATGGTGTTGTTTGGCGCCTAGTTCCCAGCGACTATAAGAGCTATAGCAACCAAATAACATATAACCATATAACATAATAACAACCATATAACACTGTTAGAAGTGCATTTCACAATGCTGTCCCGCCCCCAATCAACCATTTTACAGATATTAAAAAACTACAACTGAAAATAAACCGGGGACTTACAATTATTATTTTAAATAATGTATACTTTTATGAAATTTCATTTTATTTCTATCTTTCTGGCGCATATTGTGGGTATTTTTGAAATGGTTTTTATGATGGGTGACGACTTTCTTTGCTGCATTCCGTCTCCTCCTCTCTACAGCTACGGCAAAAATCATTGTATATAGCATCTACGGTAACAGATAAAACAGTCCAAACTTTTCTAGAAGCATTTGAAATTGAAAGCTGATCTTCGGTTCCCCACCTTATTTAGTTATACTATGCGTTAAAATACACGCATTTGCAGTGATGAACAAAAGGGAGGGTGGGCTTTAGACTTCAAGACCAAACCAATCTAGACTGCAATGCAAAGATAGCATGAACATATATATAACGATAAATAAGTATTAGTAGCCGTATTCACAGTGCATCAGTACAAGTGCAATTCTGCCACTGCTGCATCTGTCAGTTGGACTAGAAACCCCAACTGGATCATATATTACTTTCGCTTGCATTGACTGCTTTTTCCATAAGGCTTTTTTAGTTGGTTTGAATTCGACTATCGGACTCCTAAGAGCGGGATGGATGGCCGCACCTATGAATATTTCTACCATGGTTCGTGGAATTCGATCTGAGCCGAGCTTTGTTTGCTATTATTCGAGAAAGCTACATAGCTAGAAAAAGCTTGGCTCAAAGCGATCTCGACAACAAGCGTGGTTGGTTGGAACGGTCGGTCCAACTCGAATCTTGCAACTGTGTGAGTTGTGTGTGCGTGTGTGGTGTTGTGTCTCTCTCTCCCTATCGTTGTGTCTGTGTTTGGTAATGAAATTTGGTTACATTCCCAATCTGAAACTTGCTTGGCTCTTCTCGGCCTAAACACACAAAAAATGCCAAAAATGTAATAAACCAAAACGCAGAGTCGGAATTCCTCACACCATTTGATCAACTCTGCCGTGTTCTGTGCTCAGTGAGCGTGTGTGTGCGTGTGTGTGTGCTTGGATTTTGTTGCTACACCAGCTCGTGGCGTTTGTGTGCGTGCGTGTGTGTGGAATTGATCATAAATACTTTTGCACAACGCGCCCCTCCACAATTCCAGAAGAAAGTTGTTTAGCATATGCGTTGGTCCAGAGGCGAATAGACTCCGGGCAGAGCGGAAAGGAAGGGAAGTGGGACCAGCGGCAGCAGCGGCAGCAGCAGCAGCACTGCCAATAAGTATGTCAAAAAGGGCCTAGAACTGCAGCAACACACAAGGCCCGCACCAGCTACCAGCTACATATATCGCGTGTGTATAATCAAGGCGAAATAATAAAAATAGTAATGAAGAAAGAGAAATAATTTACAAACAAAAAACTGGAACGCGCGAGCCAGACTCGAAAAAGTGAAAGATTGCAAGCTGACGTTTGACGTTGAAGCAGAGCAGAGGCTGAGGCTGAAACTATGGTTAACTGGAGTGACGTCGTAGTCTCTCAGTCATGGCCTAAGCACACGGATACATACATGCACACACATGCACACCCGTTTGGATGCGGGGGGGATGGTTAGAAGCCACCACCTGTCATGGGCGCTGGCTGCACACCGCTTCCGTTCCCTCTGCTCTGCCCATTCTATTCCAGAGCATAGTTCCAGTGTCACTTCCACTTCCACTGTCAGTGCTGCAGTTTCCAATTACCGTTTTGCGACTCATAAATAATTTTCGGTGTTTGTGCTTCTACTTTATTGCCAGCTTGTTTTGGGCGATTTCTAAAAGCATTCCATTGTGCCATTCAATTAGCACACAAGTGCCTGGAATCTGCGCCGATTTGTCCAACTAATTCTCGTACATATGTACATATGTAGTTTCTCTTGTTATCCGCTTCGTTTTGGGATCTTCGTACATACATACATATATACTAGGTAAATATATATATTCATCCCCCTACTCTTTCTGCATTCATCTTAAAGTGACGCAATCATTTGAATATTATTTCGATTCCTATGATTGTTTCACTCTCTGGCGGAATAACCAGTTGCTTGCTGGCTGGCTGATCGTTTCGTTGCATTTATCAAATCTCTCGTATCGTGGCTCTTGAATGCTATTAGCTCTGGCAATTATGCCAATTCAAGTTGGCCGCTGCCGCTGCCGTTTACTGTTATTATTGGGTATTTATTTAATTGTCATTGTTAGCGCTTCGACCGCAGCCCGAAACGAAACGAAACGAAAGACTTAGGCAACGAACCCGCTCGACCAAAAATCTAAAACTGGCGCTCGCTCGCCGCCAATCCCGACCGCTTATCAATTTATTTAAATGA